TTGCTCAATTTGCCTCGTGAACACAAAAAAGCTCCAATTGTCACCATGAACTCGATAAAAAGATTCAAGTTTTACTTTTTTATTTTCGATTATCATTTTTATTTCTATTTTTCATAAATTTGACGTTTTTAAGGGCTGATGGGGGTAAATTGAACGATTCGGTCGGATTTAGGGGCTTATTTCACCCCTAAGTTGCTACGTCACATGCACAGTTGGCAAGACGCAATGTTGGAACGAATGGAATAATTTGGGAGAATTATCTTTCTTGATTCTATTAGCAAATACAAGAGTATTTATACAAGGATTAATACAAACAAAGCCCTTGGCCCAACCTTATATTTATACACAAGTAAACTAAAGCCCAAACCGGTACTAACACCCCCCCTCAAGTTGGAGCATGCGGATCAAAAATGCCCAACTTGAGAAGTAAATAAGAAAAATTGTTTCTGTCCTAATGCTTTGGTAAATATATCGGCCAGCTGTTCTGTGGTAGAAACATGTTGGGTAGTGAGCATTCCATCCCGAATGGCGTCACGAACATAATGACAATCAACCTCAATATGTTTGGTACGTTCATGGAAAACGGGATTGTGAGCAATATGAAGAGCAGATTTACTATCACAGTGCAAAGACATCGGACCTGGGAGAGTGACACCTAGAGTCGAAAGAAGACCTTTAAGCCATTTCAATTCTGCCGTGAGGGCAGCCATAGAACGATATTCGGCTTCAGCAGAAGAACGAGACACGGTATGTTGCTTTTTAGTCTTCCAAGAAATAGGAGAATCACCAAGAAAGACCATCCAACCAGTAAGAGAACGCCTAGTGAGAGGGCAACTGGCCCAGTCAGAATCACACCAACCGTGTAGAGAAAAATCACACGTGGTACGTAGCAAAATACCCTGGCCCGGGGTACCTTTCAGGTAACGGACCACTCGCAGAGCTGCATCCCAATGTTCTTTTCGTGGAGCCTGCATAAACTGTGACAGAGTATGAACAGCATAGGCTAAATCAGGGCGAGTAAAAGAAAGATAAATAAGCCTGCCCACAAGACGTCTGTATGATGCGGGATCAGACAATAGATCACCCGTAGCCAGAGATAACGTATGATTAGGTTCCATAGGGAAGGAAACCGGCTTAGAGCCAAGAAGTCCGGTCTCAGAAATAATATCCAAGGCATACTTGCGTTGGCATAAGAATAGCCCTTCGGACCCACGTGCAACTTCAATACCGAGAAAATATTTAAGAACCCCCAGATCTTTCATGTGGAAGCATGAATGCAAATATGATTTGAATTTAGATAAAGCAGTAGAATCATTACCACTGACAATCAAGTCATCCACATAAATAAGAACATGTAACTGAACCTGCCCCTGACGAAGAGTAAATAATGAGTAATCAGAATATGACTGAATAAACCCATATTGACGCAAAGAATGCGCCAATTTAGAAAACCAGCATCGAGGTGCCTGACGAAGACCATAAAGAGATTTTGTCAGACGACAAACAAGACCAGGCCGTGAGGAATAAAAGCCAGGGGGAGGTTTCATGTAAACCTCCTCATGTAGATCACCATGCAGAAATGCATTATGAACATCCATCTGGTGTAACTCCCATTGCTTCGCCGCGGCCACAGCTAAGAAAGCCCGAACAGTAACCATCTTGGCAACGGGTGCAAATGTCTCGGTGTAATCGATACCCTCCTGTTGATGATTCCCAAAAACAACCAATCTGGCCTTCAGACGTTCAATAGTACCGTTAGAATGGTACTTAATTTTGTAGACCCATTTACACCCGAGTGCCTTTTTACCAGAAGGAAGCGGTTGCATGGTCCAAGTCTTATTAGTTTCAAGAGCCTGGATTTCATTCTGCATGGCCTGTCGCCAACCTGGATCAGCCATAGCATCTTTAAAAGAGCGGGGTTCATGACCTGCAAGTATAGCACCAAGAAAATCCCGATGGCGGGAAGAATATTTGTCACATTTTATATAAGGTGCTATAGGGTAGGAAGTACCTGAGGAGGGACCGGAGCCAAGTGAAGACGGAGATGGGCTCATGACAACATTATTGGTGACAAAATCACGAAGCAAAACCGATGTCCTTTTGGCACGTAACCCGCGGCCCAGTGCAGGAGAGTGAGCGTGTTCGGTCATGACTGAGGCCGGAAGTGGAGCAGTGTCAGGGGCTGTTTGCATGGGTGGAATAGTATGCGAGGGCTCAGCCTCATACAGCGGGGTGGACACGTGAAGTGGAGGCATGGCGTGCGCAGGGTCGGGTGTAGAACCCAAAAGCCGAAACGGAAATTCGGTCTCATGAAACTTTACATCCCGGGACACAAATATATCACCAGTATGCCAATCATAGAGCTTCCACCCCTTCTTCCCGTGGGGATAACCAACAAATACACATTTGCGACTACGAGAGCAAAATTTATCACTCCTAGAAGCAGGATTATGCGCAAAGCAAAGACAACCAAAAATACGTAAATGGTCAAATGCCGGTGTGACCCCGGTAAGAACTTCGTACGGGGTCTTGCCTCCCAGGAGTCCAGACGGTGTCCTATTAATGAGATACACCGCCGTGAGCACACCCTCACCCCACAACTTCACGGGCACATCAGCTTGGAACATTAAGGCTCAGGCCACATTTAAAATATGCCTATGTTTACGTTCCACCCGCCCGTTCTGTTGCGGTGTATAAACACACGAAGTTTGAAACAGAATTCCATGATCATCAAAAAATGGCAACATGCAATTGAATTCTGTTCCATTATCACTACGCGCAGTTTTGACAGACACTTCATATTGTTTTTCAACCATAGCAAAGAATGACTGAAAATACTTATGAACCTCTGTTTTATCCCGAAGCAAATAAACCCAGACAGCCCGAGAGTAATCATCAACCAAAGTGAGAAAATAAATTGCATCACAGGTAGAAGGAGTTTTATAAGGACCCCATAAATCAACATGAATTAATTCAAGAATTCGGGTAGCTTTATTATTACTAAGAGGAAAAGAATCTCGGACTTGTTTAGCTTGGGGACAAACTTCACAAGCTTTATTCAATTTCTTAGGAACAGTATTAGTAGAAAAACACGGTAATAACTTTAGCACCCGATCTGAAGGATGACCCAAACGGTGATGCCACAACTCAAACTCTGTCAGACCATCCCCTTGAACCGCATGCAGTGTAGGTAATCTTCTGAAGTAGAACAGCCCATCTCGCCTCTCACCGGCTCCAATCAGGCTCCTCGAGCGTAGGTCCTGTATAGCATATTAGTAAATGTGACAAGGCAATGAGATTGGTCAGTCAATTGCGAGACCGAAATGAGATGACAATGCAACCCCGGCACATATAAAACGTTGTGGAGCGTGAGACCACGTGACAAAGGTACACGGCCCTCATAGTTTGCATCAACTTTCCTGCCATCCGGTAAACCAACAGGACAAGTATTTATACGAACAGGATCAATTAGACATGCAAAATCACCCGTGACATGATGTGAGGCTCCAGTATCAATGATCCAATCAAGATGAGATAAAATCTTACCCGACATGCGTTCATTAGAACGAGATTCATCATTAAGCAAGTTTAAAAGTGCCTGGATTTGCTCCTTACTCAAAGAAGGCAAGCTGTTTAATTCACTCCCAGAGGTCGAGCTGCCAGCTTCTGCCACGGCGGGTGGAGCTGCTGCCACGGCGTGTGTGCGAGCATGTCCTCCTCGGGCAGAATTTCCCTCACGACTTGCTTGACCTTTTGCTCGTTGGCGCTCCTCCCACCACTTCGGATAACCATGGAGCATAAAACACGTCGTCACTTCATGCCCCTTTTGCTTGCAATGCGAACATATTGGACGAGCACGGTCTGTTTTGTCATCTCGGTTTTTAACCGACCGATCAGCCCTAAGAGCAAAAGCCTGAGCATCGGACACAGCCACGGTCTTCCCTCGTGCTATTGCCCTTGAATTTTCCTCCTGTAAGAATGCTTGAAGCGCACGATTGAGATCCGGCAAAGGAATATGTGACAACAGATTCGATCTCACCGTCCCATATGTCTCATCATCAATTCCAACAAGAAATTGATGAAGTTTCTCTTCCTCTCGATCGGCGGCAAACTTTCCGACTACGTCACACGTGCATAGCCCACACGAGCAGACGTGAAGCGGCTTTAGCCGATGTAATTCATCAAACAGTCCCATAAGTTTTGTGTAGTAGCTGTCCACAGTCATAGATTTATTCTGTCTGCATTCTGTTATGGCCGCACGGAGTTGCTGCAAACGAGGACCATTGGACACGCTATAACGCTTCTCCAAATACTCCCATAACCTCCGTGCTTCGTCATGAAACGGTATGGACATAACAACATTTGGTTCTATGCTTCGTAATATCCATGAAACTATCATGGAGTTATTGGTTTCCCAATCAAGCTTCCTTGCAGGATCGGTCGGCTCTTTAAGGGTTCCATCAATGAAGACGTGCTTCCGGCGTGCCTTCAAGGAGAGAGCAAACGCGCGTGACCAAGCTACGTAATTGTCTCCTTTGAATATCACATGAGTGATAAGGTTTCCGGGCTGATCCCCCGGGCCTAAATAGTAAGGCGAAGAGGTATCAACCATGGCGGCGAGTTTTAAGCACACTGGTGCTTCTCGTCGAGGAAGAAGAACGATGCGTGCGGCTAGCCTAAAAACGTCTCTGATACCATGTTGGAACGAATGGAATAATTTGGGAGAATTATCTTTCTTGATTCTATTAGCAAATACAAGAGTATTTATACAAGGATTAATACAAACAAAGCCCTTGGCCCAACCTTATATTTATACACAAGTAAACTAAAGCCCAAACCGGTACTAACACGCAACGATGACCAGCTTGTTACTTGCAAAAAATAAATTTTGAATTTTTTATCTTAAGTTCAAAGTGCTAATTGAAGTTTTTTTTTAGCTCGGGGTAAATTGAGCCATCAAGGCCCATATGCCCGTTAACCATTTATTTATACGGTTTAGGCGCGTGCCACGGCACAAAGGGCACGCTTGGTTTATATCAGCAAAGGAGGGCCGTTCTCTGGAATATAAAGAAAGACCTAGAAGCATTCCTCTCTTTTCTTTCTTGACCAAACAGTTTTCGCCGATTGCCTTTTGATCCCAGATCTCCGCAAGGCCTCGTTTGCTTTCCGCTCACGCATGGCGACTTTTGACGAAGCTCCTCCGGGAAATGTCGCTGCCGGTGAGAAGATCTTCAAGCAGAAATGCGCCCAGTGTCACACCGTTGATAAAGGCGCTGGCCACAAGCAAGGTAAATCCCGATCCGTACACGCACATGTACGTGTGTGTTTGTCTGTGTGTATATATATTCTATTTGTTATTTTCTGTTCGATGTTTTTGATCTGTTTCGTGTGCGATCTCTATACATATAACGACAATAGATCATATACATCCTTAAGTTGCGGTAATCGGCTTTAAATGATTCTGCGTTTAGTTACGCCTGCGCTCCTGACACTAAATCCTTACTATTAATCTGATAGTTTCCAACGTTGTGAAATATGATGTCATCAATATTGTTAATGCCATCTTATAAAACGAGCAGCGGAATATAATGAGTTACTCCATATAACATAATGAGGTCATCAATATTGTTAATGTTATTTTAAATATTTGATCATTAATTTGTCATGAAAGAGTAATAATTGCGCTAATTATTTTCTATAATATAAATGGGAGCATTAGCTCAGACATCCAAAAATGACAAGTGTGAAGCTTTTTCTAAAATATAGAGGGAGTAGTTGTGTTTACTTAGTCTTTGACACTCCTTAATCATCCATTTGATTTGTCGTAGAAATCCACAATATACCTCACATTTGTCACCTGATTTAATCAAATCAGTATGAACAATTAAATTGATTGGTTAAGTGACTTTATGTCTGTCAGAGTATGAGAAGTTTACCTTAGATTATTGCTATATAACCAGAGTGTGATGAAGTTTCAAAAGCAAGATGATTAAATTGAGAAGAAGAGCGTCCAAGAACTTTTTGTGTTGGGATATTTTTCACCTGTTTGTGCACAACACCTTTTATTTGCTCTGATGAATTCTGTTTTTTCTATGTTTCTCTTTTTATTTTGGGTCTAGAATCACGTGTAGTGTTTTTATATATATGGAGATCCATGAAAGTCGTTGAGAACTTGGAATATCCTCTAACCACTGGAAATTGACAGGGCCCAACTTGAACGGACTATTCGGCAGACAATCTGGTACCACTCCTGGTTACTCTTACTCTGCTGCGAACAAGACCAAGGCTGTCTGCTGGGAAGAGAAAACGCTATATGATTACTTGCTCAACCCTAAGAAGGTGAGATTTATTGCATCATGATTTTGAATGCATCTTCATTTGAAATGTTTTGTGGATCTTTCCTGAACTGTGTTGATTTGGAAATGTTCTTGACCTATGTGTGATCATATACATACCTAAGTCTTGCTCTATTTTATGTTTTGACTCCATACGAATCATATGAAGTTTTCCCACCATTATCAACAGTTTTCTAAAAGCTTTGATTGAAGTGATCAAGTAATTTTTGTTGGAATTTCTTTTTGTATATAATTTGATTGTGTTTTGCATTCAATTGGCCTTCTTCATTTTTAACTTCCCATATGCATCTAAATATTCCCAATTCAATCTTATCAATCCATTTGATCCGATCATAGCACACCTAATTGTGGCCACTGAACCATTATCAGTAAAAAATATTTCTTTTAGTCTATCATAATTTTCACATTTTAAAGTTTGTTATGAAACTTGTAATCTAGAAGTGGCACACGGCTGTTACACAACAGTTATAGTATGCTATGTGCCCAACTGGAATATCTTGATTACCAATCTTTTTTGCATTGGCAGTACATTCCTGGAACAAAGATGGTTTTCCCTGGATTGAAGAAACCTCAGGATCGGGCAGATCTCATAGCTTATCTGAAGGAATCAACTGCCTGAATTGTGTTTTGTAGCCAAAGGAGATTTTTTTAGTAGTAATGGATGGATAGACACCCATTACTCCGGTTTCAAATTCTTTTGCCAATAATACCGAACCATCATAAACTGTCTTTGTGACTTTATTCTTCCTCTGGTCTGGTTGAATTACAGGCCAAGAGAAGATTGGCTTTATCTACTGTATGACTTCTTAAAACTCTATATTTCAAGTTTTTTGCTACTTCGAAATTCGAATGCACTACTATTCATTGCATCAGGGAGAAAATGCATCTTTACTCTACATTCGATGCAGTTGTTTGCATCTTTTAAACTAGCTGACTTGAAAATTTCTGGCAAATTTTGAACTTAATACTTCCCTTTAAAAAAATAATGGGAACATTTTGTGTTGGTAAAGTACCAGTCCACACTCCACAGTCCCTATTCATTAAACATGAATCAAACTCATTGTTTCTAGATTCATATTTATATTGCGTCGTTTTGGAAATTGGAATGTTATTCACAAACCAGAACTCAGCTTCTTTGGATCGAATAGATCTCCCCCATTTGGGTCTCAGAAAACCTTTTAATCGCGACCGTTTAATAATTGATATGGAGGGGAACTGGGGAATAGCTGATCGTTGGAAAGAAATAGGCTATTTTATCTATGTGTGGGAGTTCTCTTCCCATCCCATGAAGCTTTTACCTTTGATAAAAAAATCCAATATGGCTTTATTTTTATGGACGTGTTAATACTTGTCAATCTCTTGACTAATATTCCCATCAACAGTAGACTATCGTCGTCCACACGTCTCTTGCATTTTCATGGTGTGGAATGAGGTCAAGGGGTGGATTGATCTCCGCAGAAGCATGGCTGCCATTTTGAGTGTCATCATGCTTCTATAAAGTGGATTAAAAAGCCTTGAAAAGACGTTTTGGTTAAGCCAAAAGCTACTCCTTTGTCTGCCTGTTTTGAAGTTGATGGGAAAATTTTACTTTCCTTTTTTAATGGTCACGTTTTGTTTTTTGATAAGAAATATGTAGCCTGCACTATTTTAGTTCATAATTCAAATCACATTCAACTTTTACACTTTCAACTATTTTATTGATAATTGTGTCAAACCAAAATAAGATACATAAAATGAGATGAAAATAAAATCCTTTTTGTTGCAACATGTCCTCAAATCGTAGAGTAGGAATGCTACTCGATGTGACACCACGACTCTCAAGGAAGATGACGTGATTGTTAAAGTGAAGAACAACAACAATGCTTGATGTACCCACTTTTATACTCACCATATTTGTGAATCCGATTCACAGACAATATTTTGTTTATGCAAAATATTATCTATGAACCGGGGTTCACAGACAAAAAAAAAACACTTCACAAACATAGGTGGGTACAAAAGTTATTTTTGGTATATAAAATGTTGTACTGGAGTTGTTAAAATGAAGAACATGACATACTCCCTCTGTCCCTAAATGTTATTCTAATTGCGGATTACGAAGGTTGACCGACGAATAAAGTTAAACGATCAATGTGAAAACTCGGATTATTTTTAGTAAATAAAATTTACATATTCAGAAACTACATTAAACCCGCTACAAAGCCTGCAAAAAATAATTCAACTTTTATAAAATTTTGATATAAAAAGTAAGAGTTTAAGAGTGATTTAAGTTGACCCTCGATAAGCGAAATGAAACTTTTTTTAGGCAGAGGTAGTATAAAATATTGAAGTCTTTATCCTGGAGTTGCTAATGTGAAGAACATGGTTTATAAAATATGGTTCTTCAATAACGTCCCTTCAATAGAGACAAACTTTGTACTCCCTCCATCTCATTTTATTTGTCCTACTTTCTTTTTCGGGTAGTCCCAAAGTAAGTGTTTCCTTTCCTTTTTGAAAAAAAAATGTGGCCTACACTATTTCACTTTATTATACTCAAATCTCAACCACAACTTTTATCTTTTTCAACCACTTCATTAATAATCGTGTCAAGTCAAACTAAGACATAAAATGGGACGGAGGTAGTATATGGTACTTTCAAGTATTGCCCCCTCCGTCCCGCTAGAAGGTTCCTATTACGTTTTACGATGCTTGACTGACGATAAAGTAACTAAATCCCTGTTCACACTCTAATTATTTTTGGTAAATAAAATTTACATATTCAGAAACTACATTAAAATCGCTACCAAGTCTGATAAAAAAATGTAAATTTGAAAAAAATTTGATATATAACACAAAAGATTAAAAATAATTTAAGTTAACCATGTGAATAGTGGACGATAACCTTTTATTGGGACGGAGGTAGTAGTATATATTTACAATTAATCTAAAAGAGGGTATGTCCATACATTATGGTTGATAAGAACAATCCATTCATTCATCATCATTACCCTGGTGCCGCAAAAGCTCCCACCTACGCAAAAGCTCCCACCTACGTTGGGGTAAGAGGTCGGATGTACACAGTCTTGCTCTGTACTCAAGCACATAGTGACTGTTTCCGGATGATCCATAGTGAAAATTGCCTCGAAATTGCATGGACTAAGTACTGACGGTTGTTTCCGGATGATTGATAAGAACAATGCTACAAATAAATTACTGGTAGTTTAGGTATACTAAATAATACTTCGTACAAAATGTGTTCAAAATAATTTTATATCAAAAGCAATTTTTAACGGTTGAATAATTCAAGCTGTTTATTTGAGTTAAACCCGAATAACACATAAACACGGTACCCGGTAACCCGGCCATACTATGCCAAACACAAAGAACTGGCCATGGATGATAGACTGGAATCAAACGACATTTTTATCACTTAATTACAACGGCCTCAATAAACTGCAATTAGCAAGTGTCAAATCATCTATTCAGAAATATTTCTCCAAAGCTTTGCAGATTCCAGCAACACATTGAGTAAACAGTGCAGCGAGAATCAACTCCATAAGATGCTGCAATTAGGCATTGGTAGCTTCTTTCTCAACAGATAAATACGCATTAGTAGGTTACTGAACTTGTCCAAATGAGCTTTCTTGGCTATTACCCTCATTAGCTTCTTTCCTGTATGCACGCAAGCTCTCTTTAAACCTCTTGCTCTCCTCAAAGTTCGCCTTCCGCTTCACAGCTTTCTGAAAAAAAAAAAGCACTTTTTATTGGCTTTTTTTCTTGCGAATATAAAATAAGGGCCTGAACAAAGAACTCACTTCTTGTCTGAAGCATCGGTCAAGCTTTATCTTCAGATCAGTGCATTCTCCAAAGAACTTGCCAATAGGATGATCCAGATGACATTTTTGGAACTCCTCGATAATCTGATCATGGAAAAAGTCACATTGATGTGTGAAATATAGTCTATTTCTCTCATTTGTTGTACACCGCTTACAATAGTACCAAATACTCCGTATAACCTTTGTCCTAGAAAAGGGAGTCATGTTTGACCAACCCGCAAATTATAAATTTTGATAGGATAATGGCATGTAAAGAGTTTCTTTTTGGCAGCCCAGTACAGATTGGCGTCCCCATGAGACAAGGGTCTGGGGAAGGGTCCCACCACACGGGTGTATAGGAGGCAAGCCTTCCCTTGTCATTTTGACAAAAGGACGCTCCCAAGACATGAAACCGTGACCTCCCCATCACACAACATCACTGTACCAGTGTGTCAAGGCTCCCCTTCAAGGAGAGCATTATGCCAATAGTAAGAGGATCTCAAATTTATCCCCCCTCCCCCTAATGGAAAGGAGAGGCTGGATAATTTGAGGGTAAATGTAAGATAATTTTACCATTGCATTGATCTTCCCCTAGGCTTTCCATACCCGTATCACTGTCCATTTCAATAAGATATAGATGTCATAAATTATGAATCATATTTATATTTTGTAAAGCTCATTTGTTGGTTTACCTATAATTACCATGTGTAACTTATGTGTCACTTGTTAACAATTTTTTTGTAAGCTAAACGAAAAATTAGCCTTGGTAATCAGACTGTACTCTTTTTGGGACAAAAAGGTTAGAAACATGACTCTTTTGTTTGGATGGAGGGAATAGTGTTCTTTTGAATGAACTTACTTCTGCACACATTGGGTGCCGATGCAATGTTAGGGGAGGATGCATCTTTTCTGGAAGAAAATTCCCTATAGAGCATAACAAATAAAAACTAAAACTTTGTATGATTTTAATATAATATCTCAAAAGTAACAAAATGGCATTCAAAGAACATAATTATGTAGTCAAAATTAAAAGCTAGTTATACGATCATCACCAACCCTAACGCCAATCAATGTTTAAAATGGCCCTAACAAGCCCTGCGGCATTTTGCTTATGTGAGACAAGGTATAAGCTTCAAGGAAGTTTGAAGCATAAGCCTTAAGTTTATACAGAACTTCCTTTACAATTCAAAATTACTATCAATCTAAAACCATCTTCCAAAATGATGGAATATGAACAGGCACGGTACACTAGATTTTGTATGTCCATGCACCATTGTTCTTCTAAGACAAAAATGAAGATGAATCACAGGTCAATCTGAAATACTTTTGGTCACTTGGATTGAAAATACAATCTGATGTGAGTTTTACAATATTTTGGAGTCAAAAATTGATGTTAATAGGTGTCGAATTCACCACTTTGACAATTCAGTTTCTTAAAGAATGAAGAAATTCATATCATTCCATTATTGACAATAGATTAGTCATCTCTATATATATAAAAGCTGGACCGTCCTTACAGTGAATCTGCAGAAATTCGGCTCTCACCTTAAAAAGGCAACACTGCCAGCATATTGGTTGGTCATTAAGTTACAGCTTATCGTAATTTAGAAATTATTCATCTCTTAAATGAAAGAACAGATAAAGAACGAACCTCAACAACACCCTCTAACTCTCTAAGCTTGATCTATTCACTGCTGATAAGATAAAATAAGAAGACAGTAATAATCGACTAACCTCAGGACATGAGACGAACGGACGGCGTGGTGCAGACTGCGTCCGACCTAAGGGGAAGAGGAGATCGAGACGGAGAGAGCAATCTAGCGTACGACCGTCTGGCTGAGAGATGAGCAGTAGAGACTAGACAGAGATGGTAGATCAGATTAATTGGATCGGATCAAACACTTTGGGCCAATAACTTTAAATCTCATCATTTAATTGACGGATTTTATATAGCGAGCAGAATACTACCTCCCTAACTTAGATATATTCCCATTTCAAAAGCAGATAGATTAAAAATAGTGAAAAAGTATATGAATTATTGATACTATGATGAGAAGATAATAAAATAATGTGTTGGATTGAAGAATAAATCTAAAAAAGTAGTTGTAATAATGCATTTTTTTAAAATTATTGATGGTATAATGGGAAGATTTA